AGATAACAGTTACGTGCACTCCTAATTGCCCATTCGGCGAATTAAAAAACGGGGATAGACGGGATGATTCATTCTTCCCTCCCAATTGAAGCTCCCAATCAGAAGATAGACGGATGCTGAACCTCATCGTGTTCGGATCACAATGTCATTCTGACGTACGAACCGTTGTTGAATAACTCGAACTTAATATTTTCTCCGACTATATATAAGGAAATGTAAATTTTTATTTCCAATAATGTATCTTAGCGTTAGCAATAAACACGAACGACAATATTCCATTTGCGGTTCAGTCGCCGTCGTTGTAGCTGCAGAGTAACCGCAGACCTCAGAAAAAAAAATCATATTTCTCTCAATATTATTAACCTATTTTAATGACTGCAACATTATTTTGATAATCTCATGCTCATTCGCCATAATTATTCCAGATAATTCCGTAAAGAGTTCAAGAAAATTGTATAAATTATATACCCACATATTTTAAAAGAGTAACTTTCTATATGGTGCGTGACATGTATAAAGGAAACATTCAAACATTTGTCTTAACGCGAGATGTATCAACGCGCGAAACGCTTATTCTAAAAGTAATAAAGATAACGAGCTGCACGATCGGCTTAACGATTACCGAGAAAGAGGAACGCCGCGAAACGCCCTCCTTCAAGTTTTCCCAAGTCCACTCCGCGCATTGAACGACGTTGAAAGAGACTGTCGTCTTTCGGGCCGGTCGGTCGTCGCGGGCCGACGACGCGAGAGGGATCTTTAATTCCCGCTGACCGGCGCCCATTTACTTTGCGGTCGGCACTTGCAATTGCAACGGGCCGCGCAAGTCGGTCTCTGCTGATGCGTCCTGCGGTCGAACGTCATCACCGTAGCTCACGCGCCCTGACGCGGGATGCACCTACCCTGCGGGACCTTCTAATATTCGAAATTGCTCGTCCTGGCATGTTTATTTGACGTCGGGGCTGCCGTAGAGAGTCGCCCGTCCTATTTCACCCCCTCTCTCTCTCTCTTTCGCCCTCTCCCCCCACCCCTCCCCCGCCCCTCGTCACGCTCTTTCTTCCCCTCTTCCAATTTGCCGGCTGACATTTCTCAACTCCTTCCGTCGCGCCCGCGTGTCGTGGTACCCCTTTTTTCGCCTCCTATGTATCCGTCCCACGGCCTCTTTCTCTCTCTCTCTCTCTCTCTCTCATCCCCTTTCTTTCCCCCTTTCCGCGTCGTCTCGTCTCGCGGCGACGACGACGGCTTTCGTCGTCGTCGTCGTCGTCGTCTGAAGCGCCAACTGAGAAAAACGCGGTAACGCGACCGAGAAACGAACGAGACCGTATTGGCACCGCGAGCCGGTGCGTCCCATGTCAACTATATCACGGACTCGCAAACGTGACTCGCCAATGTGCCCGATTCACGTATATATCAGCAGCTGCATCTTATATTCATCATCTGATAGATGGAGACGCTTGATTTTAATGGAATATCAATACTTGTCTATCCGCATGACGTGCGAGTGGAAAAACGATATCGCGCGATTTGAATTCTCTTTTGTGTACCGATCATTACGTTTCACTGCTGCATTTTTTTTCAAAGGTTCATTAATTCGACGAGAGAGAATAAAGTCTACAAAAAAAAAAAAAAAAAATCATAAGCGAGGAGAAACCGGTAAGTATTTCCTTCCAGGAAATTCCTAAAGAATTCATCGATTTGCTATAAATTATTTATGAGCGATACCTCACGGAGTCATATACGGTTGCTTAACCGCGTGATGCGAGATAAACCGCGTTCTATCCGTCCGCTAATTACTTGATCATCGCGAATGATTATCTATATACGGAAGGGGGAGCGAGAGGATTGGACGACATCGCGGAAACGCCTTCTGGCCTATACTGTTTAAACGAAGAACGCCATAAGTATATACACACACACGTTCTTTTTTTTCTGAGGAGTTTTAAGAAAAAAAAAGAGGAATAAATGCCTGTCGACTCCGCGCCTTAAGCAGCGTCGACGCGCTTACGGCGACGACGGCGCTTTTTTCCAACGTTTTTACGTTGGAAAATGTAGGATACAGTCGGACACGTATAGGACAATGCACTTACGTCGCGGTACGACAACGCCGCGCGGCCGCGCAAAAGCGCTTGTAACGCGGCGGCGGCGGCGGCGGCGGCGGCGCATCCTTGCATTATGCATCGCGCGAACAACGGCGCGCGGCGCATCAATCTAAGACACGTCCCACCGGCGATAAATCGGGTGATATATACGGACGCAGAGGTGCGATGTTACGCGGCGCGATATCGCGTCGGGCAGATAATTACCAGAAAGTGCGTTTTATAAAACCACCAGCGTCAGCCCGCTAATTATAGGCTCCCCGCGCTCTGCGCGCCGCCCGCCGTTCTCATGCAGATGAGGCGGCGCGCTTCTAGGAATCGAAACGTGAAAGCGAAATGTTACGCCGTATATACGATCCTAGAGATCGTCCTATCGGCGTGAAAATACGATTTATCGCCCACGAATAATAGCAATTTTTGTTACGCCAGAACACATATACGCAGATAATTGGGCGCAGCTAGCTGTGAGTTGCCCTGGTTGCTTTTTGAGTCGGTCAGAGAGTGATTTACGCACGATCGTTATTACGCGTTATATTGCTCGAGATAACTACTTTATTCAAACTGCGTTCCGTTAGAATTGAATTTCCTATTTGATCTTAATTAAAAGAATATTAATTGCACATTGAAAAAATTGAAAAATTTGACAGGACTATATTTTTTTTTTCTGCAAATTTTGAGCAAGAATCGATTTTCTGTTCGCCGAGTAATATACGAGAAATATACGGCCTGAGAAAAATACGCTGTATCGAGTATTAAAAAGGGAACAAAATGTCTATATTAAATACCTGTCGTTGTAATTTAAATCGATGCTCGTTTCCGCGAACGCTCGGTTTAAACGGGCCGCCGCGGTCGAACAACACCTTGCGTAATACATTTTTAATTCCGGTAGGTGCATTGAGCCACGTTCGATATCACTGGCGGATCTGTGACCGGATATCGCATAGGCACATCTCGGTCGTTAGGCTCCGCGCTTTTTTTTTGCGAGATGCTAACCGATCCCTATCACTACAAATGAGCGCCATTTGCGCGCGACTCGATGGCGTGGGGTGACGAATATACGAACCCGAATCGGCCTTGTTGCGAGCGGGACTTCGACCGCGGTGGCGGTTTCCACTCGCTGTATATCTATATATACGTATATAACTGTTCGCATCGACGACGGAATCCTCGTAATTTCCCGAAAGTGCGCGAGAGAGTTGCGAGAAGTTGCAGTTTGCGAGAGAGATTCGACTTCGTTTGTAATTCGCTCGACTACATTAATTACGCGACATTGTCGCTCTACACCGGGTGTCTCACGGAGATAATATACTATCATACCGCATCATTATAGATCTCGTAGGAAATTTACCTTGGCGGAAATTCATTATCTTTTGTCATAATTCTTTTTAACTTTTACGTTATTTCCGAAAAGCGAGTCTCTTTAAATGACTTTAAGTTAAAGTAAGATTTATTTAAAGTGGATGATTAAACTGATTAGGTAACTGAAAAGTTAAGTTCTGTTCGTTTACTTGTCCCGTTTAATCTTACGACATCTCGAAGTTACAGAACTTCTAAGTGTCTTCCAAATTATTTTATTTATTTTTACTTATACATGCTATGATCATCGAGAAAATTCAATAATTTTAATAAATAAAATATAAATAAAATTATCTCGATTTAAATCAATTCGAATAAATTTTATTTTAATTCAAAGTTATTTTAAAAAATTGTTTTAAGAAAATATAAAATAATTTATATATATCAACAAATGTATATAGTAATCTTTGCAAACAAGTAATATTATCACATTTACTTAATATAAATTTCTGTATATGAAAAAAACAGTGACATTCTCTAAACTACTCTAAATCCGTTGCGCAACTTTTTACTTTCGATTTCTATATCGTATTCCGGAAGTTTTAAAGAGGCAAACAAAAAATCACCGATGCTCGAGATCGGATGTTCGTACTTGCATTGGCAAGCAGCGAGGGCCCTCCAATTTGCGCTTATTAATTCGAATTATCGCTGCCAAGTGGGTGTCCAGCGGAGGATATTAAAACCTCTGACCTTTAGCAGGATGAATTATGCCGAAGTTCATCAAACAGTAAGGCGGTCTCGTATTTTAGGCGCCATAAAAATGTACAGGCTTAACACTCATTCTTTAAAATCGATCTGAGAAATTAATGTGTGCCTTAAATGTATTCTCGCATTAATATTTTTATGTTCTTATAATTTTATAATGTTTCGTCATTTTTTTTCTAAGTGTGTGGTACAGCTAAATTAATATATCTTACATCAATATATTATAAAGCTTATTATCAATATATATTACATATAAGCGTTAAAAAATTTCTTTTTACGAAAAAATAAATATGTAAGGTATATGACAAGTAATCTGTCAGATCGATTTTAGAATAACGGAGGAGTCACTTTAAGCACGAAGCAATTTCGAATAGTCACACTTTAATAATTATTTTCATGTGACGTATATTCTTAGTAATTTAAGAAATTGTTTTTATAATTGCGACAATCGCAATATTAAAAACTGATTTCGCCTTTTTAATCGATTGAATAATTGTAAATAGTGATTAAAACAGAAAATTATCATAATTTCTGCTCACTGCTATCGCACATTTCAATTAATTTCGTACAATCAATTTGTGGAAAATCTATCGTGCAAGTAATAATTACGGTCACACGAAGTTTACTTGACGAAACTGTCATAACTTGCCGGCGCGATATATTTTCTATTTAGAGACGCACGTTTAAAGCTTCGAATCTGATCTCTCTCTTTCTCTTTCTCTTTCTCAGATAAATGACCCAAGACGCGACTCAGAAGGAAAGAAATTGCTAGGTGCTTGAAATGATGTCCGTTGATCTCCGCTGAGAACAATATCTTTTCGCATAATTAAGACAGAGCAAACTTACCGTGACGGCAAGCCGCGAATCGTCGTCCGTTTTCCCCATCAGCCGAATCGAATTGTCCATTCGCCGGTCGAATTGCGCGACTTCGTCACCGAGAGAATGCGAAACGCTCCGCTGGCTGAGATTACTCCGATCTTCGATTCCGCTCCAAGTTCACGGCGCGGCGGCGACGCGAACGTGACGCACTCACGCACTTACGCCGATGCAACGGGCGCACTTTCTGTCCTTCGTTGGTTATGACTTCGTCACAATGACCTTCCAGAGGACCTCCAGAATTTGGCGCACGCCGATCGAAGCGGGCGATTAACATGGCGGACACCCGTTGAAGCGTCGCGTGACGTCACGGCACTCACGGCTGGCCGAAACCGTGCGCGAGATCCGCGGACGCGTCTCGCCGTATTTTCCACGCGGACGCGAGATGACGATCGGCGCCCCCGACGCGCGCACTCGAGTCCGACGGAATCCGTTCAAATGTATCTCGCGCTCGTAGATTCGCGATCGAAACCTTCGATGAATTCGACAAGCGAGCGACGGCGTCCCGCGATCCACCGGCCACTGCGCGCGACGCGACTTCGTCAGTCGTCGCCGAGAGAGAACGCGAAATCGATCCGCCGGCTGAGATCACTCCGATCTTCGATTCACGGGCGTCGCGGCGGCGACGAACGTGACGCACTCACACCCGACGCGATGGGCGAATTAACCTTTTGCCTATTATTTTTGGTTATGATTTCGTGAATGAATAACAGCGAAACGTATATAGTCACCGACGATCGACGTACTGACGAATTGTACTCGATTTATACGTCTCGGCTTGACGAATAAATGTAATTGTCGGGCGTACCGAGAGTTTATGAAATTAAGATAATTAACTCGTAACAGATGTATATGTATATATCTAACAAGCCTCCTTCCTTGCCGCGATGTCGCATGCCCCAAATCACTGATCGACATGCTCCGTTTTCGCGACCGAGATCTCACTCCGATCTTGATCGACTCCGCCGCAAGTTCACGGCGTCGCGGCAGCGTGGCGCAGTCATACCAATGCAATAGGCGAATTTTTTCTCCCCACTGGGGTTATACGCTTTCGTAATGAATAATACCATATGGTCACCAACTTTGTACAGTAACCAGCACTAAATGAATTGAATTATGATTGGAAGTTGAAACACATTCGCGCGAACACTTCCAACGAGTATACGACGAATTCTTGTCCAACGAAGAAGCGGCGACCCGATTCACGTCGAAATTCACGCGATTTAATTGTTACTACTGGAAAGCGCGGAATTTCGTATATTCGAAGCGTTCCGATCGTCCTACCGCAAATTCAGAAGATTAGAACTCCTCTCAATTGGCCATCTGAAATAATATCATGAAATAGTGATAAAATGTATAGCCATGACATATTATAGAATATTCTCTTGAATTTTACATGAAATTTCACACCGCGACTTGTTTCGCGACTAACAATAAAAGTATAATTATAACCACGAAATTTTCACGGCCATCGTTTGATAAATCAATCGCTCATCTACGTGCGCACACATACGAATGTGCACGCAGATAAGAGCGTATATGTTTGTAAGTGGAAATTCTGTCTCCTCGAGAAAAGCGGCTACGCGAGAATGCTATTTCGTACCTTCTTTTTTTTCTACTCGTGGAAGATGCAATGCACGGCACCGCGGAAGCGAGAGAAGCGAGACGACGTGGTTTCCATGTCTTTCTAGAAAACTGTACACCAGGCGCCATCTACCGCGGGGCGAGCGAAGCGACGTACGCTTCCACGGGCGCGCCGTTCTTACCGACGTTGCGGACGCGGCCGGAAGCTCATAAAGGTATACATCGTTCGGCTGCGATGATAATAATAATAATAATAATAATAATAATAATAATGACGACAACGCGCGACGAGACGGATGCGGAACGCGTTGCAATCTCCGCCCCAGGAACGCCCTCTGGTAGGCTATTGGCCCGATATCCCTAGCCCGGAAAAAGGCTGCCATGGCCGGCGCGACCGGGCGAACGCGCCAATCGGAGAGCGCCCCCGGCAAAACAAAAGGCACGCACATCGCCGTTCTCTCTCTCCGTCTAGTTAGTGGCCCTCCTCTCCCTCTCTCTCTCTCCTCGCCTCGAGAGCGAGGTTCTCCTCCGCGGCGAGAGAACCGAACAAATGAATACCGCGCGGCGCGGGGCGAGATCCCCCAGGGGTGTCGGCGCACTCCCCGGTAAAGGAGGATCGCTCGGGAATCCGGCGACCGCGGAACGTAGGGACAGGAGGGCGAGTGAGAAGGGGGGACGAGGTTCCCGAGTTTTTGATGTATTAAAACGCGGGCTCTACGTGACACCGAATGCTAAGTAGACCTTCGCATCGCGCGACGGCTTCGAATCGCGAGTGGCCCCTCTCTCTCTCTCTCTCTCTCTCTCTCTCTTTCTTTCTTTCTTTCTACCTGCCTCGCTTGTGCCCTCGGGCTTGGTCTCGGCTGCATTTCTCTTTCTCTACATGTATATATGTGTACAGTCATGTCTTTATTATCATCGTCATCGCCCTCCTTGCCGCTCCTCGCGTAACGCGGCGGGCGGCGGCCGTTATTCAGTTATTATCGCGTCGTCGCGCTCGATAAATTAGACGGGCCCGCCTGAGCGTGACCCGATCGTGGCCGGCGATAAGATTTCGATCTACATACTTAAAACGACCCGTACTATATCTGGCAACGCGTCACACGCCACATCGCCGAGGCGTCCGGACGATATCTCGCTCCACCGGCCAGCTGCCGGAGCAGATTGCGTAAGCAGCAGTACCGTAGGCGCATGCAAATTGGTGTCGACGTCGTCGTCGTCGTCGTCTCGGCGGCTGCCGCGCGTCGCGATGACGCGATCACGTCACGAGTACGTATGCATCTTAAACGGCATGCTCATCTCACGAAAGAAACTCACATTCTTCACGGTGCTATACCTGTTTGTAAATCGATCCTCTCTTGAAAAGAGAGCTGCACGATATATTTTCGTGAGACATCACAATAACTTACCTCTAACCTAACTCCCACCTCCCTAATCCCTTCCTTAACCTTGAAACCTTTTTTTTATCACTTCTAAATAATTTGTAGATAATATTATGTTTGCATCTCGTTTCAGACGATCCATTTGTTTGCGTCAGAATTCGGAACAGAACTTCCATTTGCAACTCTGCGTGCGCCGTGCAATGTAAAAAAAAAACGTCTGAACAATGAATATACATAAAGTCGTAAAGTGGGCATCGGTATATATGAAGGTACGTATATAAAATATATTGAAATATGCACGTATATCGAAACGGTACATTAAATTATAAGTGAAATTTTAGGTATCCTGAAATCTCTGACATCTGAATTATGGATCGTTCAAAGCGACGAGCTTTACGCTACGACGACGGAAGGCAAGTAATTTTCTACTTAAGTCACCTCGCGCAAGAGAGCCGGACATGACGGATATATCGAGGCGTTAAAACGCGTTTTTATACGGTCAATATTACGAACACGGCACACACATGCACACACACCGTCTCCTTGGCAGGCTGTAGACTTTTACCGGAACGGCGGTTTTTATCGGCGCCCGCTACGGTTTCTCCGTAGTCATCGCATTACTGTTTGTTGTTTGTAGTCTCTCTCTCTTATTTAGTCGATAATCGCTCTTTTCCTCGAGACCTATAATTTGCAACCCGATTTGGGCGCCGGCGCGAGTCAATTAGTGATGGACGGGGCCCCCGGAGACCCGTGGTGTTGAAATGGAGCGACATTTGTGGGCCTTGTGCTCTTCATTTTCGGAGCGCAGCGCGTTCAAAAACGCTCGTCACGTCCGGTCCGTATACGTATATCCCATTTTTCCGATTCCGTTTCGGTGACAGAGAGCGAGCAAAAGGCGCCTGGGTATCGTGGCGGTAGGTACCGACTACAAAAGCCCTTGGACAAAAGACGTCTTTGCGAATATGGTCTTTATTGTTATTTCTATATTTTTCGGTCAATCAGCTGGAATTTTGACGAATAAGTAAGTCTATTAATGCGGGGGGGGGGGAGCAGAAAACATTCGGTTTGTTTGAAGAATTGAAAGTATAAAAAACGCCAGTTAAATATCGACATAGATACTTATCGACATAGATACTTATCGACATAGATAATTATGTAAATTTTAATTTACCCCCCAAAAAATGTCGAAATTTGCCCTAACGCTTAGAAAAAAAAAACTACAAGAATGTTGTTACAGATTTATTTTCCTTCGGTTCTTCCTAAGAACGAACGGAAGAAAAGGGTAAGATATGCTCGAGCAAATCCACCGCAAACTTGGTCTCGTTGGCACGAAATCGTACAATTCTGTTTAGTAGGAAAATTTTTAGAAACGGATCTAGCGGATTAAGTGAAACGTGTTTTCATAGGATCGTATTTTCCTTTAATGGCCAACGTCATTCTCTGACGTTTGACATTCGCTCTTCTCAGGTATATATACACGCGACAAATCCTCCAGCAGATTATCGTCTCACGGATCGTTGTAAGTTAAGCTTGACCTTATTCGAAAGGATTTCTCTGCTTGTGAGTGAAAGATATCCGCATTTTTTCCTATTCTCTCCTTTTTCTTCTTTCCCCTCCCCCTTCTTTTTCGCGAAATCCATCGTGTGCAGAGCATATGCCTGTGGCGGACGACGACGACGACACGTGTAGTCGTCCGGTAAAACGCGGCCGCGGATATAAACGTGCCCATAAGGACGCGGGACGCGAAAATCAATTTGATAGGCGAGCGTACGCGTGCCGAATTACCTCTACGTGATGTCGGGCCGTTTCTCGCCATTTTCGCCATTACATTAACGAAGAGACGCGTCGCGCCGCGCCCGTACCCGCAATGGTTTACGGCCGTATATCGTAATGCTCACCGCACGAACAATGGGGTAACATCGCGATCCCAGGCACGTCTCGATCCCACGGCTCTCGTATCCGGAAGGGAGGTG